CGTTACATGCAACAATAATTAAAAAAACTACATCAATTTTATCTAAAAATTAATAATTTAAAATTTAAATTATATGATTTGATACTAAAAATTTATAATTATTAAATCATAATAAAATAAGAATAAAATTTATCATTATACCCTGAGGGCATGGCTGCTGGATAAATGTTGCCCTTTTATGGCTTTAATGTAAAGAGTTAGGACCGGTCTTTTCATGTAGTTGGGGTGTGTGTGTGTGTGTACAACTGTGTATTTATAATTGGGGAAAAGGATGCAAACGCCCCCAAACATTAGAACATTCTCAATTGAGTCCTTTAAATAACAAACTCCAATCAAGTCCATCGTCTCATTAGACGTTACCCAATCAAACCCCTCGGTTTGTTCGATTGTGGTCCCAAATTTAGTGTAATTGGGTAAAGTTTAATTAAATGGGAGATTCAATTGAAGTAATTGATTTTGCAATTAAGGATATATATATATATATATATATATATATATATAAGGGCGATTGATTCCAAATTTAACTTAGCCATACAAGTCTGGTGATCGAACTTTATTTATAATTTCATGGAGCGAACCACTAAGATATTTATCGTTTATTAAGAAAAATAGGAGGAAAAAATAAAATTTGTTCTAGTGTGTCATTGAAGTGACTTTTTGGAATCAAGAGTCCTTAATTTTAGTTTACTCTGAGGTACTGAGATTTGCAATCATAGATCCTGGATAACTTGGTATATAAAATTGGATGAATCTTCCATTGTTCCGATTTGACTCAATTCACAAAGGCTCTTTGAAAAATTTATCCTCCTAATATATAGAAGAAGTGTGTATAAGTAGTCTTTCCCATTTGGGGTCACAAGAACATCCGGATATGTACATTTGACGGCATAGCTAGGTTGTTAGAAATCAATATCATCATGTTTTCAGACAAACAATTCCACTGGCAGTTGACAAAAACAAAACAAAACAAAATTCCATTTCCCTTTGGACTTAAAATAAAATCTCACTTACATTTATTGGACTAGGATTGGTTTCGAATATGTTAAGTGGCTAGGAAGAATGCGTTGTTAGCGTCTATAAATATATCCGCTTAATTGAATCACAAATTTGTTGGCTATCCCCACTCTGCGGTTGGAGTTTAATTGGTTGGTCCTGATGAGGATATTCTCCATCTTTGTTTTTATCACACTGCTAATAAGGTAAAACCCATTACAGGACAAGAGGATTCCTTTATTTATTTAATGATGGACAAGAGGGCTTTATACTAAAAGATTGAAAGAAAAAAAGATCACTACTAGCCCATATTTGCCAAGCTAAATGACGATATCGAATATGCTAAAGATGTTGGGAGAAAGAAATTCCAAAAGCCTCAAGAGGGATCCTTGTCACTTCAAAAATACCTATATGTGTGCATCAATATTAACTCCAATTAAAATACAATTGTGAACGAAAGTCAACCATTAAAATTAATCATTTCTATTTTTCATGCTCTTTCCTCCAAATTAGTGGATATTAATATATTATCATAATAAGTATAGTCATGGTTGAATTGAAATTGAACCCTAAGTAATCTTATAATGGGCCGGCTTCTCCCTGTATTTTGCATGTATACACGAAGGCTGATGTGCATTATATATGATAAAAAATGTGGGGGCTCTAAATTAGGCTGTGCAACTTTATGTTGGAAAACAAGAAGGCAATAGAGATGGACAAACTGAATTATTGCGCAACAATTTCTGTCCTAGAAAGGTTCATCAGTACGACTACAAGGCTCTGTGTGTACAACAGTTTCCTAGCTTTTCTGACAAGAGGCAAGGCAAGAAACAAGACAAATTAAAGCGTGAGGTAACCCTCGATTTACTCTAGGACATAGCATCAACTATCCTTGTTGTCATGTAGCCATGTGAAATGAATGAAGGCAAATCATTATTGAGACTCCCTATATCATGAGCGATTAATTGGATGAACATCTCTCTCAAAAAGAAGTCATCAATCACTGTTTTAATCACTTTCCTTTATTAAAATACAGTGGACTGATGTGAAAACAACGGTGATTTGCTACAGAAGTTGGCCTTTTGTATGTAATCTTGCCATTAGGCTGGGCTTAAAGTAGAAACGAATGATTTGGGGTCTCTTTAACTTGTTTTCTAAAATAAACTAAGCATGACTTTAATCTTCTTCCACTAAGATATATTCGTCCAAGTTTTGGACAATAAACAATGACTAATACAACTTTGGTTTGAGGGTAGATTCCAACATTCAGTGAAAATTTTAATTGGACATGCTGGAAATTGCAAGACCATAATCCTTTGGGTGCTCAAATTCAAGTTCACAATTATTGAATAACTCGTAGCTTGAGAATGACTCCCAAATCTATATGAGGGCATTTTTGGATTCGTAAATCGAACATGAATGGGCTTATTCCAAACTTACACTCCAAATATAATGGATTGGACTTTATGGGCTAACCTCAAGCCTAATCCCATGCCAGAATTGAAAAAGTATGCCAAAGCCCAAAATTGTATAGGTGGACTAGTCTTCTTAACTAATTATCAGAACTAAGGCTGACGTTTATCATTTATTAGCCCAAAGTCTAAGAATAAATTGGCAATACCTTGACCTCTTAAATAATGGAATACTCATCACACAAGTGAGCCCAAAATTTTTGGCAAGTTCCATGGCCATGGACTTGGAGCATCGATTCTTTCTCGTTCTGCTTGATGGAAAAAAATAAATCAGGGCAAAAAATGATAAAATGGAGATGCGGGGTATCGATCCCCGTACCTCTCGCATGCTAAGCGAGCGCTCTACCATCTGAGCTACATCCCCGTTTCTGACTTTGGCGTTTCCTACTTAAAATATATTATTATATATCAACAAAACTTGCAAAACTAACGTGGAGATGCGGGGTAAGCGAGCGCTCTACCATCTGAGCTACATCCCCATGTCAAATTTAATCAAATTAATTATTAGATATCATAAAATAACCATATAGATAGAACAATTTCTTGACACAAACTGATGGAATATCAGTTGGAATCATCCGGGTCAAGTTTAGTTTAATGACCTGCAGATGCTTTGATATTTTAATTTGAATGATTTGGTAAAATCTCTTCCATTGGACTTGGTCAAGCAAAATGTTTGTGCTAGTCTGACTCCAGGCTAATGAGTAGCCTGCAGGAAGTTTTTGAGAAAGCTTGTGTGCTTGAACTTTAGTAGCACAGTTGCTTGCTGTGGTTGATTCATTGTTTGTTTCCTCAGTCTTTTAGCAAAAGTTTGAGTTGTTCTTTGATTATTTTATTTTTGGCTTTCCTTTGTAAGTAGGATGAGTTCCTGACTTAACAGTTCTTATGATTAATGAATTTTTTTTTCGTTCAAAAAAAAAAAAAAACAAATAAAAACTGCCCTTTGTGAGAGATTTTGGCTCCAATTCACAAAGAAAAAAAAAACCCTAGTTGTGACAGTTTGATAAACAGTTCATTATGGAGTTTGTGATTAGGTAGGCAGAGCAAAAAGGATTAACAGCTTTTGCCACAGGATTGTAAATAATAAACAATTAGACTCTTAACTAAAGGCAGCAAATCGCACGACTCGCTTTTCCTAGCATGTCTTTCCTGGAAATTAGAAAAGCATCACTTTTTTGTTATGGGATAGGAATCCCTCAGCAGGTTAGGGCAAAATCACTTATTCTGAAAATGAACTCGACAAGACACTAAGACATTCATATCTTCTCTCCCCCACAAAATCCCTAGAGAAGTCATTCCCGAGAACTACGAAAACGAATCACTTTACTGATGTAATAAGAAAAGCATTCTCTAACAGGATTCAAATTCCAACAACAACAGCCTTTAAGTTTCAGCTAGGCCTTTCAGCTATAAGTCCTTGAAACTAAATTTCCAAATTCCAATCAAGCTTCATCATCAGGTACCCTTGAACTTACACTTTTGCGCTCCATTACACATGTCAAGCTGGACAGTAGATTGCAAATGGTTAATCTTGACTTGACGCCAAAAATTTTGTTTCAGGATTCTCAACCACAAAACATATACACCTGAGGTTTCTTCAGGCAACACAAGGGAAAAAGAAAAAGAGTTGCATATTGACAGATTTAACAAAAAAGAAACAACAAAAAGAATTAAAAATGACAGACTTTGGTTATTACCAATAAATAAAGCAATCAAAGATCATAAAAAGCTTTGTTAATAAAGGAGAAAACAGTTCAACAGGAGCGAGAGAATCTTAAATTGTTCTATAGAAAACAGGAAATTTGAGATGGATCCGCATAGCCTTTACACAGTGCATGAACCCAAAATGCAGCTATCCTTATCACCAGCAAAACTAAGAATTAAAGGGGTTATCAGAGATATGACAAGTTTCTAGTTTAGTTCTGCCTACAACTAACATTAACATGCAAATAAATTCGCTGGTATTGACACTGCGAGAGCCCATTTCATTTCTCAGCAACTCTTATTATATGCCACGAGTTAGCTGCATTGTGAAAGACCAAACAGTTCACAGGATTCTGTCATAAAACCAACACATATCGAGGTTTAAAAAAAATGAAGAAAAAAACCTTCTTTCAAAAAAGTGATCTTCCACTCAAGCGATGATCATAAGCAACTTTATACATGACGATTAGGATATGCCTAATCTAACAAAATAACACGCAATGTAACGATAATAAAGAAAGATAAGCATTGAAATAAGTATCAACTTGAACAAAGGAAGCAATCTCTATTAATATTTAATCCCAATAAATTATGAAAGATGCAACATAATTCTTTCAATCTTCTTCCAGACTAAACCTGGCTATCTTTCAGGATTCAAAACACATCCACCTCTATGCAATTTTTAACTCCAGCATGAATTTGTTGACCCTGGTTTAGAAAGGAAGAAGAATGAGAATTGTTGAATTGCAGTCAGGACCAAACTGATCACAACTGACCTATACGAAACCATCACTTCACCATCATATCCTGAATTGTGGAAGCTCTAAATTTTTACGAGTTCTCAATGGTTGCAGTTGTAATTCTTATTGGCCGTGTCCTTTCCTGCTCACCACTACGTCTCCAAAATGCCCTCCTCCACCAAACCTCAAATCCCCTTTGTATATTAGGGCAATCTTCACCAGAATTCAGAAATCGATCAAACCAAGCAAGCAAAATATCCTGTTGCCAAGCAAGCGGCAGAGTTAAAATTGTGTTACTAAGACCATCCTCAATCAAATGTCGATCGAGGCCTTTTGATGCCCTCCTCATCCAACGAAAATCATCATAAAATGGCACCAACCATGTCTGTAGAAGCAAGCATCTTGCTTCCTTTGATGCCAACAGCTGCCCCTTTCCGATCCCAACAAACAACCTAGCTGTAACTCTACTAACCTCATACCTATGAACAGCTGGAATTTTAGAATGTACATCAGATAATTCAGACTGGGAGGCCCAGGTTTTCAGAAAATCCTCAGCAATCTGTCTATCAATCAAAATATCCAAAATCCAATGCAAGTTATCTGCTTGCCGTGCAATCTGTCCAACATCATTCAAATCCCCCAAGGCTGCCTGGAGAAAGTGGTCTTGAAGCAATTGCAAACACCCATCGCATGCCGAGTACAATGACTCTTTCCGAAGGTCATTCTGAGAAGAATTTTCACGAAGCATCTTTGACACCAACCCTTTCATCTCACGCCTTGCTTTCTCATCTTTGCCTTCCAGAACTACATGTAAAAGCTTAAGAAGCACTTCTTCGTTGTTACTACTATCAGCAGTTCCATTAGTAGCTTCAATAGAAACCCTCTTCAAAACTTCGCATGCTCCAACCCCTTCAAGGCGAAGCTCCGATAACAGGGATGCCACCTTCTCTTCTTCATCCTCAGCCCATGGAGCAGCCTCTAAGTATTCCAAACAAGATAGAACCCCAGCATCAAACCCAATTGCTGCAGAAACCTAAAACAGAAAAAAACACAAAACTAACATATCAAGCACCTCATAACCCTAACCAACCATCCATTTCCAAAAATTCAGTTGACAATAAAGATCAAAACTTTCAGAAAACAAAAACAGCCTACATTTCCTCAGTCACCAAAAATATAACTGAAGTTATTAACTTTATAGGTATTCCCACAGTTTCTCTCAACTAAATATATCAATATATCATTGTAAAAAAAAAAAAAAAACACAAAATTTAGTTTCTGTTTCCACAGTTTCTAACAACAAAAGAACATTAAAAAAGAAAGAATTTACCTTTAAAATTCCAAGAACTCTAGACACATCCTCCTTCATAAGCTTCCTTCTCAGATCCTTACAATACATTAACCTCAAAGTCTCAATATAAACCTCAACATCATCACAGTCAGCAATCTCGACGACACAAGGAACCGACATTCTTTGTTGCTTATTAGCCCACTTATCCGACAATTTCACGGCAAAAAAACGACTATGAACCACCAAGATCTGTCTATGCACATTCATTGAAACACTAATCCCATCTTTAGAACTCAATGTCAACTTCACATCACTAGAACTCGAATCATTAAACTGATTACCAGGACTACTGTTTTCCAAAAGGTCAGTTATACGTTGCAAGATTAAAGCTTGTCTATCTTGAACCGACATTTGACTGCTCTGTGTGTTTCTCACACTGATATTTCCATTATTGGCATTAATGGGTATCTGAGTAATAGTTCTGGGTTGCATTTCGGGTTCACTAGCCATCATTTCAAAAAGGGTCGGACTAGACCGGGGTTTATGATCGGGTGGTGGAGGTGACATAGGGTTTAACAGACCAGCAGTGAGTGCAGAGTTAAACTTAGTAAAACTAGAAGGGAAAGAGGAGTGTTCATTTGGAGAAGCAATGTGGTGGTGGCCATTTGTCAGCGTTGTCGTTGTTGTAAAGTCCATGATTGGTGACTGGCTCCCTGGAGATAACCGGATCTTGAATTTTGAAGGTGAGGTTATAACCAGGTCGGGTTGTGCACTCGGGTTAATGGGCAAACGGGTGTTTTGAGGAGGTGGTGATGGTGGTGGAGGAGGAGGAGGTGGAGTTGGGAGAGGTTTAGAAGCTGGACAGCACCAAGAGTTATCTGGGGAGACTATTGTTGGTGGGTCAAGTTTTCTGGTTTGGGCCAAGTACCCGGATTCAGAGTTATTTGTTGTGGTGGCGGAGGCAGAGGAGGAAATGGTGGTTTCACGGTATTTACGGCGTTTGGGCTTGATGGGCTGAGCTTGGACTTTAATGAGTTGAGCTTTGGTTGTTGTTGTTGTAGTAGCAGCAGTGGTTGTTGTTGTGGCCATGAGAGTGATTAATTTTAAGTATCTATATTTGTTGTCTTCTAGCTGATGGCGTTGGGCATTGGTATTGGCAAATGGGAGAGGGAATGGTGGGTGTTTTTTGTGGGATTTTGATTAAGATGCGAATTAAAAATGGCGATTGATACAAGACAGAAACAGCAAGGAGTGAATGATACAGAATTTAATATGAACAAGAAAGGAACTTGGTCTCTTTATGTCTATCTACATTCATTCACATAGAGATACTGTACATGAGATGAGATGAGATGAGATCTAACCTATCTGTTTTTGTTTTGTTTGGACTTCGTAACTAGGATAGATTAAGCCTATTTTTGGTAAATTCTACCTTAGCCCCTGTGGATTAATGGATGTTTTATTTTGACACCCATAGTTTAAAATACCTCAATATTATTTGTATGTAAAAAAAAAAAAAAAAGGAGTAAATGTATATTTAAATGTGATGAATGAAGTCCACTCATGCTAGGTTCATGTGCATCATGAACGCTTGTTTGATACATTTTGAAGACAACTAAGATTAATGTTTATGATTGTAATTAATTTTTCAATTATACAATTGAATGTATAACTCAAAATATATTAAAAAATGAAATCAATTATTTTGTGACTATTACTCTCCTATATATAAATAAAAGATTGTGTTAGTGTGTACTGAATCAAAGTATCAATTTATTATTATTTTCATATCTTCGGCATATGAATGTATTATTAATTTGGTCCCTGACCGTTAAATAGTTGACATAACTTATTGTTGATTTCATTCGTCCTTCCTTTTCTTTTATTTTTCTTGCTTTTATCCCATCTTCTCCTTCCAAGTTTCTATAGGTGTGAAAGTATTTCAATAAATTCTTTAAAGCTCAAAAATACAGAAAATGTAATTCTAAAGGTGGGCTAGCCCATAGATTCTGTTAGTTATTCAACAGCTAAGGGCCGGATTGAAATTGTTTTGAGATATTATATAGTTTTAAAAACTAGACAGACCAAATTGAAACATTTCCAAATCTATAGGGGGTATGATAAATTTCACCCTGTTGACAGGGGTATGGAATGGGCATCTTCTGTGCATTTTTTGATGGGGAGTCCGCCAGCCAGATGAGTGGGGACTTTGGAATTGAGATAAGAAAAAGAGAGGAGGAAAAACAAAAAGAGAGAGAGAGAGAGGCCCACGCAGTGGCCAACAGTGTTTGTTTCGTTTCCTTCTTTATCGATGATGCCTACTGCTGCATATGTGCTTGCAGTTGATGCCTTTTGCTGGTTCATTGCTTGAATTGTTGGGATAATGCCAGTTGTAATTTGGTATTTAACTATAGTTTATATTGTGTGAGCATGACTTAGTTAGAAGGAAAGGGGAGGGTCCGTGTTGCTTTAGCCTTTATTAGGTCTCATCTCATCTCATGCATGCGTCAATGGATGGTTCTTTAAAGGTCCACAAATGCAGATGCTGGGGGCATTTTAAAGATTGATGGGGCCTTCGGCTGGAGAAGTACAGACAAATACATATGGGCCTTGACTCAATATTTATTATGTAGATGCACCGATGAGTTGGAACTTTGAAGGCATGCTTGTGACTCTTTTATGTTCATCTCAATAATAAACCCACATCATCATATAAATCGTAGAACGAGGAACAAGTTCGTGTCTACTGAATTTATTTGATGTAAGCTTATAAACTCTCATAAATTTCTATTACTCTGACAAAAAAGGAAAAACTCTTGTAGATTTGTAAAGATGGATAGATCATGGATGGTACAAGTTCAAGTGTAGAAATTCTAGATGGTTACCCTTTATTGCAAAATAAATAAATAAATAAATAAAAATTAGACTTAAGTTGTTGAGGTGGAAACAAATAAAAATAAAAAAATTTGTAGTTCAGTAATAATGCTTTCTTGCAACAAATTTAATTTGTTATGAACTTTGATGTGCGAATTAAAAAAAAAAACAAAAAATTAATCTAGTAGTCTATAAAGGAAATACAGAAATGAGTAAGGCAAAGAGGGTGCTACTTCACTTTTGCATCAAAATGTTGGAATTTTTGCTTCTCGTTCTCTTCATCTTCTATGGTCAGCTTTGGGATGTCATGATCATGTGGCCTCTCTGCCCCCACGAATGCATTTCTTCTCATGGGTTCTTCGTATTGGAATCTTACGAATTCAGCCAAATTTCAAGGACATGTGGCTTAGACAAGTTGATCCAAAAAATCGCAAGAGTAGTGGTAACATAGGACACATGGTCTTAAGTGGGCCCAACACAGTATGGGTCATGGCCCACATTGGAAATATTGGTCAAGCCCGACAATGGAAAATGTCGTTGCATCCTTTTGAAGGAAAATGATGGACAAGATTGGCCGGTAATCATCATCCATGATGATCAAATTCATCATCAAGAATTTCAATCTTGCTGATAAACGGTTTCACAATCAAATTGGTTTACTTGTTCTAGCCTCTTAAGAGATTATAAATGTTCTTCTTTTTGTCTTACAAGCACAAACAACACATATTGTTTTGATAGACCAATAAAAGTGTACTAATTAGTTATCACCATCGATTTAAATAAGTTTTTCACATTTTATTTTTTTAGTTATCTTGCATTTTACAATATTCAGACTAGTTACCATCTTTTAAAAAAAACGTAAGAAAGCAAACACTTATGTATATTTGACGTTGATGATAAAATTTATTGACTTAACTCATCAGCTTTGGATTTTTCCTTCTAAAAAAACAGCTTAGGAAATGATATATGGTAAATTTATTATTGATATATGCTTACATAACTGTTCTCGTCAGTTGCGGGGATAGCTCAGTTGGGAGAGCGTCAGACTGAAGATCTGAAGGTCGCGTGTTCGATCCACGCTCACCGCATTTTCAAGCTTCGCCTCCTCCCTTTTTGGGGATATCGTAAGGCTATATATGCTCGCTGGCCCAATACATATGTGATCACCTAGAGAGAAGTAAGAAATCACCAATCCAGCTTGGGTGTTTGGAAGAGCAGGGCTTATGGTTGTTGGAGGAGGAAAAAGGTTCGAATGAAACAGGAATAGGGAAAGACAAGGATACCGCTAAATGATGGCTTCATTGTCTTCACTGTTAATATTTTTGCTTCCTCTTTGAGGTGCATTATTTACCTTCCTCTCCTTACTGGTATGCAAGTAAAAAAATGAATGGGATACGAATTGATTTTTTTTTCTCGTTTTTTTGCCTTACACCTTCAAATTGAAGCCCAGCAGTTCATATTTACTCCAATGCAAGTACTCATTCAATTTTAAATTTATATCAAGTATCCATCATACTTCACCCCAAAATATAGGCTCCCATATTGCGTGAGCTTATTCGTAAACAGGTATACTTAGAAAATTATTGATAAATAAAAAACATTCTTTACTATATTTACAGAATTATATATAAAAAAATTCAAAATAATACTTTTGTTTCATTAAACTTTGAATCAGATAAAATTCAATTTCAATCTTTTTTTTTTTTATGGAAATTGTTTCATTTTCATAAGAATACGTGCTATAGTTTTAAATAAAGTTAACAATATATATATATATATATATATATATATATATATATATATATATATATATATATATATATATATATAAAGCATGGCTACTCAACATTCGCGTATATAAGCTAGACCAATATATAGAGAAAATTATAAATAGTTCCACTTGGTTTTCAAAAACAAATTAACTAGTCTATTTTTGTTTTAGAAATAGATTTACTTTATATTTGGTCTTTGTACGATTTATATATACAAGTCTCGCTCATGGCTATATATATATATATATATATATATATAAAGCATGGCTACTCAACATTCGCGTATATAAGCTAGACCAATATATAGAGAAAATTATAAATAGTTCCACTCGGTTTTCAAAAACAAATTAACTAGTCTATTTTTGTTTTAGAAATAGATTTACTTTATATTTGGTCTTTGTACGAGTTTATATATACAAGTCCGCTCATGGCTACTCAACATGCAAGTATATGAGCTAGACCAATATATAAAGAAAATTATAAATAGTTCTATTGGTTTTGAGAAACAAATTAACTAGTTTATTTTTGCTTTTAAAACAGATTTACTTTACATTTGATTTTTTTTATTGAGATCCTTTACGATTTTTCATCTTGATTGAAACTCTCTATTCTTACAAATTTGTTGATTCAAACCTTCCATTATAACGCCATTAAATATTTATCCTAACCAATTAGGCATGGACACATGCCAATGTGGGTCTCAAACAACAATATCTCCCATAAAAAAAAAAAAAGGTTAAAAATATTTTTATTATTAAACTAATACTTTGTATTTAGAAATTATTGAAAAATATCACATTGTTCCTACCCCATGTTTCCTTTTTCTCTAGCTAGAAATCCAAATCCTCAAATTCCTAAATACCTAAAATTGTTGTCCACCTTATGATCCCCAACCCTAGAAAACTTGCAACCTTGGCAAATGATCGGTCATGCCTAAGCAAGTCATCGGTGGTGGTAATCTAAAAAATTATAACATTAGTTACCATTGCTTTGCTCGCACTTGGACTAGCTCTCTTCTTCGACGAGAATTTCTTAAAAAGGTGAGTGAAGTGAACTGCATTTACTCTTTTAGTTCTTTCCAACCTCGGTGCAAACCACTTTCTTCGAAGGGAATTGCTAAGAGGGACTATGGATAGGATGACATTATGAAATCGATAAAAAATCTTAGTCATGAATTCATCATTGGTTCCAGTGGATTTGAAACAATCTACATAGTTGAATTGCAATGTGGAGAAACTATAGCCGTAAAGAAGATTTTGTGGAAAGATGATTTTCTTCTTAATAAAAAGCTTTATAAGAAAAGTAAAGACATTTAGCGAGGATTAGGTGCATACATCTAATGAAGATAACGGGGTATTGTAGCAATAAAGATGCGAGTTGTAATTTGTTGATTTATGAATATATGGAGAATTGGAGTTTATGGGATTGGCTACATCATCAACCGAGTGAATAGCAAGAAAAGACAAAACCTAGATTGAGAGGCAAAGTTAAAGATTGGTGTAGGATTAGCAAGAAGAGGCAAAGCCTACTACAACTTGTGGTGGTGATGGGCGGCTAGTGGTCGACGAGTTGTAATGGTGGCGGGTTGTGGTCAAAAGGAGGTGGTTGTTAGGGTTTGGCTTGTATTATAGGGATGAGGTAGTTTTGTCTTTTTCTATTCATTTTTATATACTAAATATTAGTTTAATAATATAAATATTTTTAATTTTAGTATTTTTTTAGTTTTATACTTATGTCGAAACAATTAAAGGTCCACATCATCATGTGTCTATATCCGATTGGTTGCTTATTAGATTTAACATGTCATATCAAATGTTCGATTAACAAAGAGTCTAAATCAACAAATTCGTAAAAATTGATGATTTCAATCAAGTCGAAAAATCATAGAGGATCTCAATAAAAAAAAATTTGAACTATATATGGACCAAATGTTGGGTAAATCCAAAATAATTATTTAATTATTTATATTTTAATTTCATCGATAATTTAGTATTTTTTTTTATTAATTTTTCATTATGTCGGTGATGAAGTGTTATTACTACGGTATTTTTTATTTTTAAATTATCTTTTTTCTAATGTCCGATTTTTGTTTTTCATCGATTGCATTTTTCTCTCCTCAATCATCTCTCGTTATTAAAGTTTAATGAAACAAAATTTTCAATCATCACAATAAAATTCAAACCCACCATCAAATTTTTTAAAAATATCTCTTTTACGGAATTCTTTTCCTTTTAATAAACCCAATCTATCCCATCAATCTTTTAGAAAGAATCCAACACTAAAAAAGAAAAAAAAAGGCTAAATGGCTCAAAAATTAGGTAGCGAGACTCTACCCTCCTAAATCATAGGTCCTTTGTTTTGTTCGTCATACGTTATAACCCAATAGACATGTCATACTAAGCCGAGCTAAGATTATGGAAAAATGTAGAGGTTATCATAAAAAATTTATGAGCTGATCATATGCACCCCTACTCCTAGCCCAAAAAGAAAAGGAAATGCACGAAAGCTTCACTTATTACGTTGTACACATTCGGACGCATCCATTTGGTTGTTGACCACTTATTACCTCGAATCATAGGAAAATCACCTTCATGGAAGAATAATCAAACTCATCAATTATTTATAGATTGCATCACTAAAACTTGCAAAGTAAAATTATAACCAAGTAGATGTATGCCCTTTGATGTACCATCAATATTACAAAAAAACTAAAAAAAATTGAATAGATTACTATTCATTTATTGTTTAGCAACACTCATTGTTACTATGGACCAAGACTATGCCCACTGTGTTGCCTCTTTTCTTTCCTTTCTGTTGTCCAATTCTGCTTAGTTGGTGTTGTTATCGTTGTGCCCTTCAACATGCCTTCTTTTCTTTTTTCGTTGCCATGATTTTTTTTTTTTGTATAATTTTCCTTCTTGGTTACGATCTTTTATGCTCGCCATTAATGCTATTGTTGTAGATGAGGACCCATGAGTCCGCATTTTGAATTGACTTAAACCAAATTGTTGTTTCTCTTTTGGGTTTGTTCGATCCAATCCCTTTTGGTGCTTCTTTCTCTTATTGTCTTTTCTTTTTTCAAATGGGTTTTGTTCCACTCCGACCATGTTCCACTTCCTTTTGGTTCTTGGTTAATGTCATTTCTTAGGTATTTTGGCATTCTTGGTTTTGAGGGCTCGCATGATGATTGTCCGTCTAATACCCTGGATTTTCCATTGATTGTAATTTCTTTCAATTGCTTTAAGGAGTTTTTGGAATTTCTTGTTTAATCATAATCTTCATAGTGGGTGGCCTACTAATTTTTTCTCATCTTATTTCAACAACCATTTAATGCCAAACTTTTCGTATATTCTCTTTTTTTTATTCCTTATTTGCTTTCTTTCATTATTTCTTTCCTTTTCTCAACTCCTTTTGGTTATCATAGGTGGCCAAGCTATTGTTTTGGGACTTGATTGGTTTGGGATTTCTGTCCTTCCTTGGGTTTCACTTGCTAATTATTCAATTTTGTTGGCCTTTTTTATCTATTTATGGGAGTTTCCTTACATAATTCCTTCGACTTCTTATTTTTTAGTTGCTTTTCCATCTTTTCCCTTCATTATCCATTTCCATTTCAAGGGGATCGGTTTTTCTGGTTCTTCTTTCATCACCTCTGTTATGCAATCTATTCTTTTCGGTTGCAGCGAGGGCACCAGTTGCTTATCACTTCTTATAAATTTGGCAACAGATTTAGTTTGTCCTCCTATGTTCTTGTATTTTATCGGTGTTATGTGCCTTCCTCTACCCATATTTCTATACAATTTTCTCTTATTTTATTTTATTTTTTACCCCTTTCCTCTTTTCTTTTCTTTCATTCTTAGTTTATTTATTTCTTTTCAATTTCAAGTTTCTTCTTTCCACCTCCTCTCGACCTCCTCTCTCGCTACTTCCCACAGCTTGTAGGTTAGCCTTTCACTTTCTTTTATTATATTTTTCAATTTCCTTTTCTTTTATTATTTATGCCTTATTTCCCCTTCCTTCTTTTATTTAATTGTTGTTCCCTTTTTCTTTTCCTGACCATGGATGTTCTCACCTTGATGCGAGCTTTACTATAGATCTGCTTCTGAATGAGTTTTTTCTCATTCTCATCACTTAACGATGAGGTGAGTTATTTGAATTCTTCAATGGTGGTTGTAAATTTTTTATTGAAATCAATGGTTATGTATTAAAAGGGAGGCTTTTCCCCTTTTTCATTATTTTCTTCATTTGCTAATTACTTAGGTTAGATTGAATTATAGCATTGCTCATGGTTATGTTGGATTGAATTGATTGGATATCATGGCAGCTTTAACACATTTAAATAAATGGTAAAAAAACATAAAGGAATGGCAACAAAGGTATTTGATGAAATGTTCCAAACAAC